GCTTTACATTTACTAAGTTAAAATTAATAGAACTAAAGCAATTTCACCATCAGTGTGGGTGTTTTAAAAAAAAAAAAAATCTTTAAAAAATGCACATAAAACAAACAGTAAAAGAAGAGTTTGATAAGGATAAAGCAGATCTGAAAAAGAATTAATAAACTTGATCTACCTGGTGTTGACACCCAACATTGACAAAATTCACATTTTGTTCAAGTCCTCTTAGAACATTTGGCAAAATTAAGCATATGCTGGGCCATAAAGCAGGTTATTAAAAATTAAAAGGACTTAAATTCTGGCTGTGATATCAGTAAGCACAAAAGATACCTAAGGAATGTTCAACAGCTGGAAAAATTAAGCAACATATTTTTAAATAATCTGTGGCCTGAAAGAAATTCCAATGGAAATTAGAAAAAACAATAAAAGTATGACATCATCATTAGACACAGAAGCATTTCGGTAAGGAGTGCAATTCCAGGAAAGCGGGAGGAAGTAAATATGGGGAAAATATCAGGATACTCAAGAAAAGCCCCTACCAGGAAGTGCTGCAGAGCTGGCCATTTCTAAGTGCACAGAAGGACACAGACTGCACCATAAGGAATCACTCCCAGGCAGAGGACAGGGGAAGGGTGTCCTGCTGACGTCTCCATTTCCTTGGTCAGAGCCCAGACACACAGGCTGTCATCTTGCGCACATTTCCATGACAGAAAGAAACCCCAGACAAGACATACACACACTGGAGGCAGGTATCTGACTGCCTGTCAGGATGCACACTGTGAAGTTCATTGGCACTTACAAAAGGGGTGTCATAAGTATCAATTCTGAGCTCCTCCAGAGTCATCACTGGAAGCTGCCACCATGGGCCACAGCCCCTTCCCACCAATGCATTTCTCTCCTTTTCAAAAATGTGCTTTGTGAGCTCTCCCACTTACAGATGCAAAAACATCTTTCTCTTTTTCTCCCAGCAATGATTTCTGTTCAAGGTGAGTGCTCACAGAGCAGGTCCTTTTCTTTCTTGCAGTATTTATCTGTTGATGAGCACTGATATCAATGGGTTCCTTCCAGATTCCCATGCTTCCCTGGTACTCAACAGGGTTTCCTGCACAAATTTTTCTGGCTTCAGTTGTTTTGCCTATAAATGACATATTTTGGATTTTATGGTATTTCACTGTCTCTGGATTTTGCTGTACGCTTAGTTTGTGAGTCTCCCCCTCAATCCAAATTCCCTGGTTTTCTGTAGGGTTCCTGAGATACTTACATGTGGCATAAACTATTATCCTATTCCTCATGGAACCAAAAAGGATGATTAAATGTTAGGATGGATGAGGAGACAGGCCACCAAGACTCACAGAGAGATGACAAAAGTATAAATTTGCACAGGCTTTCTGGAATACGTGTTGAGCATCTTTAACTTATTTCTAAATTTGGACATCGTAATTCACTTCTTTCAAGGTTAATTTTGGTCCACTGCTTGACTGAACGGAGGAGATGATAGGAATAGGTAAAGCACACTTCTGGGTGTGACTATTAGGGTGTTTCTGGAGAAGACTGTCAGGTGGATCAGTGAACTGAGTGGGAAAGACCCTCCCTGAATGCAGGAAAGCACCATCCAATAGGCTGGAGGTCCAGGCAGAGCAAAGGGCAGAAGTGGCCACTAGAAAATGCTTGGCTTTCCCTTCCCAAGCAGGTGGAGTCTTCTGCTGCTGCCACTGACGGACATGGAACTCCACGTCCTTCCGCCTTTGAATGCACACTTGCACCAGGGACTCTCTAGGTAGCTTTCAGGTCTTTGCACTAGCACTGGGGCTGCATCTTTGGCCTCTTCCTTTGTTCTGAGACTTCTGATTCCTTAGACTGAGCAGTTCCCCCTTTCTTTGACTTTCCAGACTGAAGACCGCAGTTGAGGGACATTTTGGACCCCCTTGTCATATGAGACACTCTAATAAATCCCCTTTTATAATTATGAATTCTATTGGTTTTATTTCTCTGGAGAACTCTAATACACCCTGCTAAGAAACTTTCCTGATAAAATTGTCAGAATTATGGACAAAGGGATATCCAAGTATACATTAGACAGTGTTGCTTTTAATAATTAAAGTTAGGGAAATTAATGATGGTTTCTGATACATTTTAACTTGGATTATTGTATATGCATTGAAATAATATTTACTTATGTAATGCCAAGGAGAAATGTTACAATGTTCTGTTAAATAAGCAAAGAAACAATCTTTGTATCTTTTTTTTATATTGTTGAAAAATAACATTGGAAAGAATAATGCAATCAGTTATTCCTTAGTAATTATATAAGTAGTGAATTTTTTCCACTGTATATATTTCTGTGGTTTTTTACTTTACTATAATGAGCATGTATTACTTTGATAATCAAAAAAAAGTAGTAAGAAATACTGTTAAGTTTTAAACAAATTGAGTTAAAGACATGTTTGATGGCTTCCCAACCCTGTAGGCTACAGTTGTAGGTAAAATAAATAAAGAGGGCTTTGGTGAAAGCATGTAGATATGAGATCCTTATGAACTTACCATATATTCCAAATTCTTATTTGTAAATACATTTGTTCTCAGAATTAACTCACCGTATACCCAAATTCTGATGCATAAGTACATTTATTCTCAGAATGTAAAAAAAAAAAAAGTAAAGATCATGATAAACACTGCAGGTGAAATTCAGTTATACAAATGTCATTTCAGCCAAGGTTTCTTTATTATGAAGCCTACTATGCTAAATTGATTTTCCAAAATAAGAGCTGCTTTGGAGAGGAAATCCTGTACCAATTGTGCTTTACTGGGTCCTAGTTACAGTAATATCAAGGGTCACTAAGGAATAAATGGCACTTGATTGCCTGCTTTTTAGTATGCAAATTGAGATATTTGAGGTCTCTCTACCTACCCTAAATTTTCAGTCCTCACTCATATTAGACAGGAATACTAATCACTAGTCACAAGTGACCAATCAAAAGGCCTCTGTTTGTTAGAATACCAACAAAGGAAGCGGAAGGAAAAACTGAGGAATCAGAATTCATAAAAAAGAAAAAAAACAGAAAGCATATGAGATTTTTTTCTTACAACTTCAAACACTTATTTATCACTGAGATAATAAGGGAGGAGATTCCTCTTGGAATTTCTTGCATTTTCAACCATGATCTCATTTTTTAAAAAACTCTCCTGTCCCCAAATTTATCAAAATGGAATTTTTAAAATTAATGACTAGTTGCTTTCATCAATATCTCATAGTGACAAGATAATTCAAAGCTACATTGCTAGTGCTTAAAAAGTCCCAAGTTTTATACCCCAATGATCAAAATGTCCTGTACTTTCTTAGAACCCTCAGTGCAGAAACCCTAGTAAGTGTATATCCAAAAGACCACCAGTAAATTGGTCCTTTGAGTTCAGGGGAATTCTTACCAAAATTCCTACTAAGCAGTAGTTTCAAGGAAGCCTAATGAAGTTAAGGGGAAATTGTTAGTTTATAGGTAATTACTGCCAAAGGATATGTTTTTTACACTTTTTGTTTCACTTTTTATGTTCTTATTTTCTGGCACCAAAAAATGACTAAGCAAAAGAGGAACTACATTTTTCTTATTAGCATTTATGTAAAGAGTTTCAGTTTATGTAAACCCCCTTTCCTTCTGCATTATGTTCACAATACAAAATTTTATTTTGAGGAATTACACAGAAATTATAACAAAATGTAAGTGGAACAGGGAGGAAGGAAGGGAAAGGGATACTACTGGGATCTGAATGAGAGCAAAGTATGTTCCATGCTTTTATAATTATGTCACAATGAAACCTAATATTATGTATAACTAAGAAGAACCAATAAAAAATTTTAAAAAAGAGATATGTATGGGTTTACCAATCAGAATCCAGGTGCTTGAATTTTCATTTCTGTGGCTTTATTTTGTTTAGTTCTTGAGACTGAACTTGATCTTATATTATCTTTATATATTTTTCAAAAATTTCAATTAGTCATTAAATAATCTCATCAATATCAGATAGTCTCTAATTTCCTTAAAGTAGTAAACTAAGAAGTTGGAAAATGGAATTATTTTATTGTGTAATTTGAAGCACCCATTTCTTCAAAGGCAAAGTAGTAAAGTAGCAGAATGTGAGCTGTAGAATCTCACCATCTTATGTTCCCAAGGATTGGCAAAGTGCAATCTATAGCTCAAATCTCATCCTGTTATGGTTCAAATATGAGGTATCCCCCCAAAATCTCATGTGTGAGATAATGAAAAAAAAATCAGAGGTAAAATGATTAGGTTATGAGAGCCTTTACCTAATCAGTGAATTAATCCACTAATATGGATTAACTGGGTGGTAACTGTGGGCAGGTAGGTTGTAGTTAGAGGAAGTAGATCACTGAGAGCATGCCTTTGGGGTTTATTTCTTTGTCCTTGGTCAGTGGAGCTCTCTCTGCTTCCTGGCTGCTATGTCCTGAGCTGCTTAACTCTGCCACACACTTGCACCATGATGTTCGGCCTCACTTAGACCCAGGGTTAAGGAATCGGCCAACCATAGACTGAACCCCTGAATATGAGCTCAAATGAACTTTTCTTCTCTAAATTGTTTTTTTTTATCATTTTTTTGGGTTGAGAAGCTTACTAAAATGCACCCACTACCTGTGCTTTTAAATAAAGTTTTGTTGGGACTGAACAGACACATCCATGTCTATGGCTGCTTTCCATCAATAGAGCAGAGTAGACTAGTTGTGACTGACCATTTAGATTAGAAAGCTTAGAACATTCCCTATCTGAGTAATTGCAAGAAAAAAAAAATGTCTACTTTTCTTATGTGCAATATTCTCCATCCACAGGAAATGCTTTAAACAATCTATGAAAAATGGCATTTTCTTTTTTATCCAAGGTGCTCAATTTAAAAAAAAATCTGATTTATGTATGACATTACCAGGTTTGCCCCCACTCTACTTTTTATTAAGTACATAAAAGTGTTTATATTGCATAATATGGTTTTTAAACTTTGCTTACATGACCTCCTGTAGCCTGGCTGTCTGCTGGCATGGACTTCTGTACTCCGTGGGACATCACTAACATGGAACAGAATGAGACATTGCTTCCCAGAGCCAGATGGCCACACGTCGGGATGGATTCTGTAAAAGTCAAAGGTGGGAATAAAAAGATCAAAAATTAGGTATTGAATCCTCTTCTCCTCAGGTTAATGGTTTACTATGTTCCTGATTATGCTATAAAAGACATGAAGTCTTGCATGGAGAAGACTTCAAAAGTTAAGCCTGAATTTTCTGGGTGAATCTTTCCTGAAGTCTTGAGAGTGTCCCATAATTTAACTCAAGCTAATATTGATTAGAAAGTATAATGCTTCCCAGAGTTTTCTAGCAAAATGTTCTTCATTCTACCACAAAATGGCATAAGGAAAATGTCAAAGATATATGTGGGCTTCCTGTTATGTTACTGTCTAAGGAAGATATTGAATATAGTTTTGAACATCTATTCTAACAATGAAATATAAATCTCCATTCATATATTTAATTGTAAAACACTATTACGGGGCTGGGGATGTGGCTCAAGCAGTAGCGTGCTCGCCTGGCATGCGTGCAGCCCGGGTTCGATCCTCAGCACCACATACAAACAAGATGTTGTGTCCACCGAAAACTAAAAAATAAATATTAAAAATTCTCTCTCTCTCTTTAAAAAAAACACTATTATGTATGATATCATTTTTCAAAGTACATTTGATTTAAGGGGTTTAAATATGCTAACGGATTGTACTATTAGAAAACCTTAAAATAGTACGCCTCCTATTTTTACAAATGGTATTTCAACTTATTCCACTTTTAAAAAGTAAAGCAGTATAACTTCTATTTTATAAAGTAAATTAAGAAACAGCCAAATTTCAGTATGGCCTATGGTATAAAGAATATTTACAATAAGAGTAATAATTAATTTTAAACAATCTTAGTTCTGATCACTACTGAGGCAGTAAACGTTTAATATAATTGCAAATCCAAATTTAGCCCTTCTTTATGCCTACCTGAAAGCCAGAATTCTTCCAAATTATTCATTTAAAGAAACATTTATGCAAAACTTCCTCTATCTAAGGATCTTTGTTTGGTGCTCTAATAATGGGTTTTAATCCTTAAGAAGCTCACCAACTAGTGGAGAACAGAAAAAAAAATGCTCTGAATGTTTCGAAAGGGGAATGAAGAAAGTCTCATGCAAAGTCAATGTGTGAGGCCATCGATCCCATGGAGATGAGGAAGATGAGGAACTCGGAAAGATTTCAGTGAACATGAGACATTGGAGGTGGCCTGAGCGAGCGGCTTTTGTCTGGCCAAGGAATGCTGCCTGCACTGGCTCAGAATTCCTGGAGGAGGAACAGGATTTCAGTAAGATTTGGCATGAGATTTTATTCTTGTCCTAGAATTGGTGGCTAGAACTCAATGTTAAGGACAAATAAACATCAAGTTATACAAAGTTATAAAGAGAGTTCTGGGTCCAGACATCTGCTCTAAGGCTAATTCAGAGGTGGGAAAACATCTCCTACTTACTACTAACCCCCACCATCAACCCACTCCGAGACTTTATCTCTGATCCACATAGAGAAAACGAAAATATCAGGAAAGTGTAGCCGAGGTAATGACTGGAGTCACCATTCAAGGACATGATGGGAAGTGTTAGTGACTATAAGCCTATTAAAAAAAAAAAAAAAAAAAACTGTCATAGACTGAAATGTGACTACATGCCTCCACCAAAATTCATATGCTGAAGTGATAACCCCAATGTGATAGTATTTGTGATGGAATCTTGTGGAAATAATGAGGCTGAGATGAGGTCCGAAGAGTGGGCTCTTAGGGATTAGTGCTTTTATGAGAAGAGACACCAAAGACCTGGTTTGCGACTGCTTCTCTTTCCTCTCCTCCTCTTCTCCCTCCCCTCCCTCTTCCTTCTCCTCCTCCTTTCTCCCTCTTCCTCTCCCCCTCCCTGTCCTCCTCCTCCTCCTTCTGCTCCTCCTTCTCCTCCTTCTCTTCTCTCTCTTTCTCTGTCTCTGATGTGAAGACATAGAAAGAAGGCAGCCATCTGAAAGGCGGAAAGAGAGCCCGCACCAGAAACCAAATCAGCTGGCATCTTATTGCTGGACTTCCCAGCATCCAGAACTGAGAAACAAATTCCTGTTGCTTGTATAAACCACCCATTCTGTAGTAATTTGTTACGGGAGCCCCAGCTAATACAAACTGGCATTTCATCCCCTAGTTGGGCATCACATCAGCTCAGGATGAGACCAATAGGAAGACCCAACTCTCTCAAAGGGATACTTTTCTACCTTTCTGTTCATTTCAAACAGCCAAAGCAGCTTGAGGGTGGTAGGAATGGGTATCATTGTGTCTGGTGGATCAACTGATATCCATCATGTCCCTCCCCTATACCCAGGTACTGTAGCCAGACGGCCAGTCTAGCCAGGGTGACAGCAACAGCCAGGATGACATCAGGCTGGACGGGGACCACTGCTGTCATCCTGGCAGTCCCATGTTCCGCTGAGTAGCGATCACTCTTGCTGCCACTCCTGCAGCTCCACTGGGAGCCTCGGCTGGTGCTACAGGGCCAACACTTCTGCAGTTGCCACAGACATCACTGATTCCATCGCTGCTCCTACAGCTGTCATAAAGGTCGCTGACTAGACTGCCACTGCTTCAGTAGTCCAGTTGGGCTGTCTCCATGAACCTGTTCCAAAAGCCCTGTTCTAGCCACCACTGCTTTTGTGATTGCCATTACAACTGCCCATGGCTATCACAATCGCTGTCAAATACCTTCACTTTTGCCAGGAATGCTCTAGATGCCTCTGCCCTGTACTGCTCTGGACGCTTCTACCCACACTGTAGTCAACTGCATTATCTCCACTCCAATCTGAAGAGCACCCATGCAGGGAACAGCAGTGCAGAAAGTCTGCAATTAGCAGACATATGATAACACAGCTAGCCTTATTGCCAACCAGCTGAGATTTCAATTGCTCAATTCATTCAAAACGACAAAGTGAAGCTACCTTAGGGTTAGTATCTCTGAGCTTTAAGTGCTGCAGCTCTCCCTCTCATGTTAGCAGCTCTCCCACTTGCCTTCAGAAGTCAGAGGCTCTCGGCAATTCTTTGGAACTACTCAGTAGATCTCCGCTGCTAGGTGCTCTTAGCACTAGCAGCTCTTCATGCAACCATCTCAGCCTGTTCAGCTCAAGATAGAAGTAATGAACAGGCAAAACAAAACCATCCCAAACAGGGTTTTATTTTTTTTTAGGGTTGTGGGGTGGGGTTCATGCTGCAACCTAAGGGAGACCAGTGTATGGGATAAATATTTCCCAGACTGATGCAGTGATACGAAGACACTGTTTATACAGACAAAAGGGGCAGGCACACAGTCATCTCTCTGCTGACTGCAGTCTGATTACTCAACTATTACCAATATGAGATAATATTCCTAGGAAAACCGCGGGCCAGCTACTTCAGTGAATACCTAATAACTTGTAACTAACATATTTAAAAAACAAAAACACCCCTCCTACTCAGCTTGGTACGGTTTGGATATGGAGTGTCTCCCTGTGTGTTGAAGGCCTTTTCCCCAATGCTGCAATACTCAGAGGTGAAGTTTTTGGAAAGTGAGTCATGAGGACCCCGTCTTCATTGGTGGATTGATCCAGTGAGGATGAAATAATTTGATGGTATTTCGGGAGGCGGTGGACATTTTAGGGGGTGGGGGCTACTTGGAGGAAGTAGATCACTGAGGTTGTGCCCTAGGAAGGTATTTCTTCTCCCCATCTCCTTCTGTGTACTCTCTCATTCTCTTTCCTTGTGCACACCCACATGTTCTCTCTCTCTCTCTCTCTCTCTCTCTCTCTCTCTCTCTCTCTCTCCTTTCTGTTGCAATGAGCTGAGAAGCTTTCCTCTCTCTTGCCCACCAGGATGTTTCTGCCTGGGAGTCAGCACATCATAGACAAAAAAATTTGGAAACCATGATCTAAAACAAATCTTTCCTCCTCCACGTTTTTTGTGTCAAGTGTTTTGGTCACAGTGACCAAAGATTACTAATACACATCTCCTAGGCCATATTTTGCCCCTAAGAGGCTTCCCAAATTTAGGTGGCATGCACCTGAAAGCCCTATAAAAATGCACTTTCTCCATAATTGCACAGCAGTAGTATGAAAGCTTAAGGTTGACCTACACACATAGTTGACCTTGATGTGGCCAATCACGTATTTAGGAAAATTTATCTCTGACCTTGAACGTAATCAATACAATGGAACTAGAAAAAGAGGATGTTAGATGTTTCAAAAAATTTTCAGTTCAGCATCCATATTTCAGAGAGCAAGAAACTGGTTTCCAAAGTGACCTAGTGACTTGCTCTAATCAATAAGACCATGTAGTAAATAACAAATAAACATTTACTTAAAACTTAGAGTTGTAGTAAACAAGAAGGCACTCATTTTGCCAGCTGACAGCGCATAGCTGAGTCCCTCCCCAGAAATGCTGTCATCAAAGAAGGTATCTAGTACAAGGTCATGACCTTCCCCTGGAAGAACCTGACCTTCTTCTTCAGGGTTGGACCACCTCTGATGGGGCTTCCTAGCTCCACAGCCTTCCTCACCAGATCTGCTGAATCCTCTACTACAACTGTATTACAATGTCACTCCTGCCTACCTTGTTTCTATCTGCCCCAGTCCCACTAGGAGTTGAGAACATGCACTGCATGCAGACTGCACATAAAATGCATATCTCTACCCCAGCATCTGCTCCCTAGAAATCCCAACCTACAAATGTAGTGTATTCCATCTTCGAAAAAATGTAAGATTGGAATGTACCTGTATCAAATCAAAACAGATTATCACAGAACTTCTTCTAATTTGACAATGTGCATGATGAACCACCAACAAATAACTAAAGTTACCTAGTTACTTAGTCATAGAATTTTTTTTTTATATTCAACATTTTATGAGACTTATGGTCTCTAAAATATGCTCTGGGAAACATGAATGCAGTCCACTCGGGATGACTTTTGAATCTAATCATTGAAGTTACTCATATCAATATTTCCTATAATAGAAAAATAATGGAAACATTCTAAATTTTCATCAATAAGACATTACTAAGTG